AACTAATAATCCTCATGTTATAGGAGACCCTTGGCAAAGTATTATATAGGCCTCAATGTCTATGAAATTTCCATGTGATAGTTTTTTCCCTTATGGAAAACAAGTTGGATTGACAGCATAATTTTTGTCTTGCTCTTAAGTACCATAAAGATCCATGTGTTCCTTCCCTTGGGAAAGGCAGTCTCATGTGCACAGTCTGGATCACCTCTTGGCATTATAGATATCTTCCACATCTACTCCCCAATTTTCATGATATTTGCCTTGGCCCTGGAACACTTCCTTACCAAGAGATAAAGAGTCCTTACAGCCTGTGCTGGACTTGGTACCTTGTGTGAGTATCGTTCCCTATTTCAAACTCAGTGTGTACTCTTTTGTTCTGCTTAAGTGTGTGTGTCATATGGCACTGCCAATCTCCTTGCAGGGAGGATACAGGTCCTTCTGCTGCAGCACAAGAGAGGTGTATGCAGGCCAGTGGCCCTGCATTGGCTGTAGGAGGGACCCTCTAGCTCTGCAGAACCAACACCCACTACTGACACTAATCTGGCTCTGTCTCTACGTGAGTAAAGTATCCTTCCATCTAGTGCTTGACCGTTGTGGTTTCCTTGGCGACCCTGATGCTAGGCTACAGTAGACAGAAGGGCTTGAACTTCTCTTGATAAACAGGTAGGATGTCACTTGCTCAATACCTTCCTAGATAGATTATAGGTCTGCAACAAGGGAGAGACTATATAATGTTGGCAGATTTCTTAACATACATCCCTCTTTGTCCAAATGTTAGGCTACTTGCTTGCTGTGTAAATTTTTTTATTAAAGAATGTAAAAATTTTCAGTGTCTTAAATGAAATGAGAGCTATGGTTGAATGTTCCCCTAGGCTGACAATTTTTGCCCTATGAGAAGGTTTTAAAAGAGGTCAGCAAACCTTCTCCATTGGATTGGCAGTCTGCCAGGAGCTGGTTGCAAAGTCCAGGTACCTCCTCTGTTGTCTGGCCTCGCTACCAAAAGAGCAGCCCTGGCTCAGAGCCTGGGGCTACTGGTCAGTTGAAGAATCCCACCTTCAGCTGGAGGGCAGGGCGGGATAGTGAGTCTATCCCGATCTTGCTTAGCTTTGCCTCTTAGTGGGAATAAAGTGGCAGTTAAACTCCCAGTAGTTTGAAGTGTTCATCTTGCAGAGACAAAAAGGAACTGAAGGAAGGCCAGGACCAGTACAAGAAGGCATTCCAAAATTCTTTAGACCCTAAAGTAATCTCTTCTAATAAACTCAAATAGATCGAAGTGCAAATCAAGAATATATCACTAGAATCCCACTACCTAGAACTAACCATTGTTAATTTTAGGTACCCATCTTTCAATCAGCTCTCTATGCACATACGTGGAAAAAAGAGAAATGATTTTAAACAGTGGGATCATTTTATACATGCTACTTTTATGTAAAGAATATTAAATCTGTATTTACTTGAATTTAGCAAAGTCAAAAACTGCAAATAATGGAAGTTATTGCTAGTATTTGTATTTTTTCACTATACGAGCGATATT